ATGGGGTCCACCCACAGATGGGGTCCACCCATAGATGGGTCCACCCATAGATGGGTCCACCGATCTCTGGAGCTGGAAGTGATAACCTCTGACCTACCTGTGTTTCCAGGTGAAGTGTGACCAGTACTGGCCTGCAGACCGGGAGCCGCTGTACTACGGAGACCTGGTCATCCAGATGATGTCCGAGTCCGTCCTGCCCGAGTGGACCATCCGAGAGTTCAAGATCACCTCGGTACCTGCAGAGCAAAAACTTTAGACTAGGGACGTCCCCATCCAGCTTTTAGCACTTCCAATACCGGCCTATCAGAGCTAGCTAGCTCTCTCTCTACCTATATACAATAAAAACTGGAACCTGTGGATTATCTGAGGATCTTAATACAGAATGCCCAATGACAAGCTACATTTACACACTATGGGACCAGTTTGATATAACACAAAATATATAATTAGGGGGTCCTTGGCCTAGAAACCGCTGTAATAAAGTTATTTATCTACTTACTTAGTTGTCAGACTCATGTTGAACAGGGGTTTACTCTGATAACAACTTAATGGTTAGGACAGACCTGTGGGTTACAGATGCTAATGCTAATGCTAGTGTGGGATCGGGATAAGCCTACCTTAGACACCTTTTTAAAGCGTAGATCTCAGGTGGAGTCTTCTGTGTGTGATGGTGAATGTCTCCTCCCAACAGGAGAGCAGCTGCTCGTACCCCCGGGTGCTGCGGCACTTCCACTACACGGTGTGGCCCGACCACGGAGTCCCCGAGAGCACCCAGTCCCTCATCCAGTTCGTCAGGACGGTCCGGGACTATGTGGACCGGTCCCCCAGCACTGGAGCCACCGTGGTGCACTGCAGGTGAGACACAGGAACACACTCACACACTGTTTGTCTGGATCGGGGGCAGCTGCAGGTTTCTCTGCTTCTAAATGGCTGATTCAGATCAAAACTGGTCACTTCCAAAAGATGCTTTAGCTCCAACAAGACAGCTGATGTTGTGTTTGGGTGAATCAGGTTTGTAGAAGCTGTAAAACCTCTAAAGAAAGCTGTAAAACAGGGGTTTAAATGGCTGCTGTCCAGTGGGATTCAGAGGTTTTCCTTCTTCTACAAACCTGATTCACATCAAAACAACATCAGCTGTCCCGTTAGAGCTGAAGCATCTTTAGAAGAGACCAGTTTTTATCTCAATCAGCTGTTTAGAAACAGGAAACATCTAAAAACCTTCAGAACAGAAGCCGAAAGAGGCCTGGATCTGCTCCCCCACTGATTTTAGTGGCTGCTTTCCTGCAGGTTTTTACAGGTTTCTCTGCTTCTAAACAGCTGATTCTGAAAAAAACTGATCTCTTCTGAAGGTTTTTCAGCACTGACAGGACAGCTGATGTTGTGTTTGGGTGAATGAGGTGTTTAGAAGCTGGAAAACCTCTAGAGAAACCTGCTGGACAGCAGCTATTTAAACCCCTGTTTTAGAAGTTTCTTTAGAATTTTTCCCTCTTTCTACAAACCTGATTCACCCAAACACAACATCAGCT